AATCAGGTGTGTTGGAGCAGGGAACATGTAAAACATGTAGGACTGCGGCCCTCCAGGACCAGGACTGCCTACCCCTGCCCTGACCGCTCCATAAGGTCGAAGGAGGCGGGGCCAGACGGAGTCGTCTTACCTGCTGCAGGTGAGCRGAGGCGGTTGGCGGCGACTTCCTGACGGTGAGGGATCTGAACCGGGAGGTGTCCGAGACTGTCTCTGGGTCTGAGGAGGGCCTGAGGAGGACCGAGGCTGCAGCAGGGCTCTGCCCGTCCTCCTGTGTACACACACACACACACACACACACACACACACACACACACACAGAATTACACAGACTGTTCAAACACCTCCCTTCAGGCTCCGCCCCCTTCCGAACCCACCTGAGTACTGAAGCATGGTGACTTCCTGAGAACTCTGCGAGCCGAGCAGGACGCCGGCGGTGTCCGGTCCCGCGCAGCCCGGGACCACCTGACTGAAAAGGGGCGGGGCTTTCATCATGTGGTCCCACTTGAGCATGGGCACACAGGGGAAGCGCTCGTCCAGGATGTAGGCGGAGTGCTGAGGGACAYACAGGAAGTGAGCGACAGGAAGTGGGCGGCAGACCTGGCTCGGACGTGTTCGGTTGGTTTAGCCTACCTGTGTGGCGACCAGGTGATGGAAGGAGTGGGCGTGGCCTAGGTACCTGGACTGGAGGAGTCTCTCTCCGCTGCGACACTCGGAGCTGCTGCTGATACTGAACAGAGTGATGCCAGAACCCTCGCCCACCTGCAGAGACAAACAGCCGAAGGCTGCATTTTAGCTGTTTATGCTTTATGACCTTCAGCTCGTTTAGCTGCTAGGACCGTCATGTTTTTAGATTAAATACTTTTCCAAATATTTAACTTTTCTGACCAGTTTTCTACAGAATAAAGCTTTAAGCTCTACTTCAGTAAAATCACAGTTTTTGTCTTTTAAAACTTTTAGCTGATGTTGTGGTGTATTTGGATTTTGATACTTTTTACTTTTAGCTATCCTTTTTCTACTTCTCGGTTTTAGCTAGCCTTTTGTTATTTTAAGCAACTTTACACTATTTTAAGCCAGTCTTTAGCTACTTTTAGAGATCACCTACATTTTGTTTCCTTAAAGCAATCAGTTTAACTACCTGTAAGTATCCTTTAGCTACTTTTTAGTTTTAGCCAACTTTTTGTACTTTTAGTTACTATTTTGCCTATTTTAGCCTTTAGCTATTATTCTGCTTATTTTTATTCTTAGCTAACCTTTTGCTACACGTTCCTTTTAAAAGATTTGAAGCTACTTTCAGCTAGTCTTTAGCTACTGCTGCCTTTTAAGTACTTTTGATATTTTTAACATTTTAGCTGCTACTTTTATATTTTCTTTGCTTTAAGTTACATTTTTGCTACTTCCAGCAATCGTTTTGCTACATTTTCTTTTAGCTAACATTTTGTAGTTTTGGTTATTATTTTTGCTCATTTCAGTTTTTAGTCAACCTTACACTAGATGTATATTATGATGAATTTAAAGTTACTTTCGGCTAGTCTTTAGCTACTTTTGCCTTTTAACTATTTTTGGTACTTTTAACATTTAATTTTCCACTTAACTTTTTTTTAGCTTGAAGTCTTTGTAGCTAAATTTATTAATATTTTGATTACGACTTGAAAACTTGAGCTTAATCCAATTTTTTTGTCATTTTAGCTTTTAGCTAATCTTTCAATATTTATATCTTTAAATGAATTTAAAGCTACTTCTAGCTGGTGTTCAGTCACTTTTGTCCTATAACTAGCTTTTTGCTACTTTTAGCAACCGTTTGCTTTAACTTCTAGCTCATCTTTAGCCACTTTTCATTTCAGCTAGACATTTTTTATTTTTAGTTTCCATTTTGCTTGACTTTTGCTTGTTTTTTAAGCTAGCCTTTAGCAACTTTTAATTTCTGACTAGCTTTAAGCTACCTTTACCTTCAATTCTACTTTTAGCTTTTAGCTAGCCTTTTGAAACTTTTTGACTTTTGCTACTTTTATATTTAGTTAACCTTTTTCTATATGTAACATTGGACAAGTCATGAACCAGATGTGTTGCAGCCGAACCATCAGAAACTTAAAAGACCTGTAAATCTGTAAAAACCTCTTCTTTATAAACAAAGTAAAAAACTGTTTTTTAGTTTTCTGAACTTTAAGTTTCAGAACTTTCTGAACTTGTTAAAGTTTCAGAACTTTCTGAACTTTAAGTTTTAGAACTTTCTGAACTTGTTAAAGTTTTAGAACTTCCTGAACTTGTTAAAGTTTTAGAACTGTCTGAACTTGTTAAAGTTTTAGAACTTTCTGAACTTGTTAAAAGTTTCAGAATTTCCTGAACTTGTTAAAGTTTCAGAACTTCCTGAACTTCAGGCCTCACCCTGGCGTCGGTGAGCTCCACGCCGGTCCGGTCTGCGAACAGAAAGACTCGGGGATGAGCAGAGAACTCGCACCACCTCCACGAGGACTTGGCGTTGAAGTACAGGTTGGTTTCTTCAACTCGAACCTTCTGCAGGCTGAGAGYTTAAACAACATTAAAAACTTGAATTATTGTTAAAAGTCTCTGGAGGCGGAGCTTCTCACTTTCTGCCGACGGTCCACAAGCTCACGGCTCCGCCCTCGCTCGCCACGAGGACTTCCCCTAAGACGTGAGGACTGCAGGAAGGAAGCAGGAGTTGGTGAAGTGTCCTTCAGAGGCAGCCTGCTGAGCGGCGAGCACTCACCTGACGCTCACGCAGCTCGCAGCCTCTCTGGTTTGGACCACCTGCAGCAGGCGGGGCTCGTCGGCGTCGCTGAGCCTCCAGACTCCGCAGCGGTAATCTGAGCGCACGGCGAGGCAACCTGAGACACACAGACAGGGTGAAACATGGAGCGCAGCTGCAGCAGACCTGGGCGGTCCTGGACACTTACAGTGCTGCAGCAGGGAGCTGTGGCTGATCTGCCTGATGGGAGCCTTCAGCTGGAAGCTGTGAGGAGCTCCGCCCCTCAGCTCCACGCCGCGCTGCTGCAGCTCCGCCCGCTGGAAGTCTGAGGTACTGCGCTAAGGAGCAGAAAACACCTGGARAGGACCACGTCTGACCCCTGGCTCCAAGGATACTGAGGCGGTCCAGACCCGCTCCTGCGGGGTAGACCAGGCAGCCCCGGCTCTGTGAGAATGGGACGAAGGCCAGAGCGCCGCCGGTGGTCTTCTCTGAGAACAGGAGGCGGTCCCGCTGCTCCGTCAGCTCCTCGTACAGCAGAGAGCCCAGCAGCTCCGCCGGGACGTCCGGCACCACGTCGGACAGGAGGCCGCAGTACGAGGCGAGGGAGGAGGAGCCGAACATCTGGTGACACCTGAGAGAACACCTGGATCAGCACCGACACGCCGACAGCTGATAACCAAAATCAGCCGAAGAAACTAAAGCAAGATGATGAAGTGAACACAGGGGGCGGGGCCAACCTGGAGCCATCCCAATCATGATGATTGTCTCAGAGCATTTACATGGAGTGCGCTTGTTATTGGCAGTTTGCGTGCATATTTATCATCAAATAATAAACAATTTACGGAAATTCTATCTTTAAACTTCAAAGTACTCATATAAACCTACTAATTTCTACATGGAGAGATTATAAATAACAAGTGATAAAACAGAGTTTATAAAATGGGTGTTTATGAACATCACTTTGCTAAACAGTACATCTATCATATGACCTCTCAATGGCAGACATGCAATGAGCTCAATAATTAACAAATAACTTGATTCTTCATTTTATATATATA